ACTTTTTATAATTAAAAATATCACAATTCAAAACAAATAAACTGTTTTTTCTTAAAGTCAAGTGTCAAATTTGAGAGATTAATGCAATTTGCTAAACCAGAACCTAAGCCTGATGCACCTTCATCACCAATTTTATTGGAACTTTTTAAATATTGAAGAAAAAATATATCATTAAATAGTTAATTAGAAGGAAAAAATGAAGAAAAAATATGAAATAATAAGATTAATTAATGAATAATAAAAGTAAAAAATTTGAAAATAAAAGGATGAGCTAAATAAATAAAAAAAAAAAAACAAAAAAAAGCAAGCACAATGAAAAGAAAAAGAAAAAAGAGCTTTGCTGTTTTTAATTATTTTTTATAATTAAAAATATCACAATCCAAAACAAATAAACTGTTTTTACCGAAGTTCAAGTGTGAAATTTGAGAGATTAATGCAATTTGCTAAACCAGAACCTAAGCCTGATGCACCTTCATCACCAATTTTATTGGAACTTTTTAAATATTGAAGAAAAAATATATCATTAAATAGTTAATTAGAAGGAAAAAATGAAGAAAAAATATGAAATAATAAGATTAATTAATGAATAATAAAAGTAAAAAATTTGAAAATAAAAGGATGAGCTAAATAAATTAACAAACAAAGAACAAAAAAAAGCAAGCACAATGAAAAGAAAAAGAAAAAAGAGCTTGATTGTTTTTAATTAGTTTTTATAATTAAAAATATCACAATCCAAAACAAATAAACTGATTTTACCTAAGGCCAAGTGTCAAATTTGAGAGATTAATGCAATTTGCTAAACCAGAACCTAAGCCTGATGCACCTTTGTCACCAATTTAATTATAACTTTTTAAATATTGAAGAAAAAATAATATCATTAAATAGTTAATTAGAAGGAAAAAATGAAGAAATAATATGAAATAATAAGATTAATTAATTAATTAATAATAAAAGTAAAAAATTTGAAAATAAAAGGATGAGCTAAATAAATTAACAAATAAAGAACAAAAAAAAGCAAGCACAATGAAAAGAAAAAGAAAAAAAAGCTTTATTGTTTTTAATTAGTTTTTATAATTAAAAATATCACAATCCAAAACAAATAAACTGATTTTACCTAAGGTCAAGTGCCAAATTTGAGAGATTAATGCAATTTGCTAAACCAGAACCTAAGCCTGATGCACCTTTGTCACCAATTTAATTACCACTTTTTAAATATTGAAGAAAAAATAAATCATTAAATAGTTAATTAGAATGAAAAAATGAAGAAAAAATATGAAATAGTAAGATTAATAAATTAATAATAAAAGTAAAAAATTTGAAAATAAAAGGATGAACTAAATAAATTAACAAACAAAGAACAAAAAAAAGCAAGCACAATGAAAAGAAAAAGAAAAAAGAGCTTTATTTTTTTTAATTAGTTTTTATAATTAAAAATATCACAATCCAAAACAAATAAACTCTTTTTACATAAGTTCAAGTGACAAATTTTAGAGATTAATACAATTAGCTAAACCAGAACATAAGCCTGATGTACTTTCATCACAAATTTAATTTAACCTTTTTAAATATTGAAGAAAAAATATTTTATTAAATAGAGTAAGTTGCCATAAAAATTTTCAAAAAGCGAGTTAAATACCAGTTTTTACATTTTCCAAAAATTAGATAAAACTTTTTTTAGTAAAAATATTTTATTTTAAAAACTTTATCTTTCAAACTATCAAAAATTATTTTTTAATGAAATTTAAATTTATTTACTTACTAAATATATAAACAACAAGCATTTAGATTGATTTATCATATTTATTGATTAAATAATTATTATAATTCTAATTACCAATCACTAATATTTTGTGTTATATAAAGTGTATCACTTGAAAAGCGTTGTGGTAATAAAAATTGCACACAATCTGGTATTAAATTTAAGTATCTATAAATATCTTATTCTATCTTCCTTTTTACCTTATCTTCATATTCTCCATCTTACCATAAAAAGATACTGAATTGCATTTATTCAACATCTATCATTTCAGACCTTGCTTCTTCTAGATTTAAATTGGAGGAAAAATGCTTGTCTTGATAAAAGATATCAGACTCCCAATGAGCTTGATCTATCCATTTTAACACGACTAGTTTTTAATTACTATTAATTTTTAGTTGATCAATTATTTCAAGATAGTTGTCTCCTTTCTTACCAAAGTACAGAGGGACAAGTAATTTTTCTTTGTAAGCTGGCGAATAGTCATTGATTACTTTTTTCATGTCTTCTATATCTTCGAATTCAAATCTCTATACTCTAAATCCAGAAGTTTTATCATATGGTAAATATTACTAAAATAGATAGAATACATCATTCATTATTCCTAGTTAGCTTTAATTTGTATAATAACTGTCCCATACAAATGAGGGGTTATTAGCAAGATGAATTGCAGCTAAAGCAGACAATAAAGGTTTCTTTTTTCCAAATTATTCTAAAGCTTCTAATAGAACTTATTTATTTCTTTTAATTTTCTATTTATTTTGATCAAGACTCCATTCTACTTTATTTTCTTTACCAAATCGACTGACATTATAAAAATCTGAAGAATTGAATTAAAGGATTCCTTTATCTGTCATGATATAGCGAGGAATAATCTTTTTTTAGCATATTGATTAAGCAAATATATTGCATTTATTTTTGTTTAATTGCTTTATTCTTATGGTCTTATCAATTATAGTATATTTAGGCTCATCCTATCTTGGTGCTATATCCAAATCAGTTGATTTGTTATTTCCTTCAAATGTATACAATTAAGATGGCTAATAGATATTTTATTTCATAGAATTAAAAGAGTCTTATTCTTCTGTCTTTGTCTTTTTTTTAACTTATTCAAATTCTTCATTTTAAGAGTAAATAATTTGTTATTTTCTTTTTAATTCTGGATTATTAAGGCTATTATTTTGATCATTTATAGATGGAGGCATAATATTCTCTAGGTTTAATTATAATTCGCTAAAGTATTGTTTAATAATTTATTCTCCATTTAAGATATCTTATAATAATTGTTCAATAAAATCTAATCCAACAACATTTTTATAAAAGTAATATTAAAACAATTAGCTTTTTAGTAAAGTGGTAATGTAAGATTCGAAGTAATTAAAGTATTTATCTAAAGAGGATGTAATACCTAAGTAAAAGCTAAAAGGTTTATAAATTTGTAAATAGCTATTATATTAATTATTGTTCTATTTTAAATTTTAATAGTGTTTTAATTTTAAATGATTATATAAAGAAGTTGTCATTTCTTTTGTAGATTAGTAAAATTTACCACAAAGACAATAGTAATTTTGCTATTTTTTATAATCATTATTAGTATTTATTTTCTGATAATTTCTTTAGCTTGATATTAAATTTTTTGTTGTATGATCAAGAAAGAAATTAATATTTGAAAAAGTAATTGCTACTTAAAATATAATTTCATTTTCTCTATTATTTATTATTAGATTATTTACTAATTACAATAGTTTTCGCTCATAAACAGAATACTTATTTGAATTTCTTAAATTATCATTATTATTGATTGGATTAGTCAACATGTTTATATTTTTACCCTTAGATTTAGTTAAAAAAATAAATAAATATTTATTTTTATTTGAAGATTAATAAATAAATTTGGATAAATAAAATCAATCTATCTTAAATAATTATTTTTATATTAGGAAATATATATTTACTATTTCTTTTAATTCGTAAAAAAATATTTATTTTTGATCTAAGTATGTATGTATGTATGTATGTATGTATGTATGTATGTATGTATTTCTCACATAATAATTATTCGATAATGAATAGCGAAATATTTTTATTAAATAAAAAAGAAAAACTCTGGAAAAAACAAAATATATGAACAAATAAGATAATAGTATAAATTTTACCTAAAGTTTTACTCTTTTTGTTGAATTTTCCTCTGTACCATTATTGATTGCGAAAGGGTCATTTGTAGTAAGATATTCTTTAACTAATTTTAAATTATCTGAGGCTTCTAATAAAATATTTTATAAAATTGAATGTTTTATTATATTAATAAAAAAATAATTAATTACATTATTGATATTCATTATAAATAGTAGAATTATCATTTTCCTCAGAAGAAAAAATGATGTTAGACTCATCATAATATGAATTTGATGCGTTCTTTTCTTATCCTCTTGTCTACTAACTTGCGCTATTGTCTGTTTACAAATCTGAGAAGTTTGAGGATATATTGTGTTAGTAAGCTCTCTCATTTCTCTCATTCCATTGCTTGTGAGATGTGTTAACTTCTAGTTATTAAAGGCTATAATCTTATTTAACTAAGATTTCAGGAATTTATTATTAAATTGGATCTATGCTGAAGTCATCAGCTTTAGATAAGCCTGAGTTATCCAATGTAATTTGGTTAACCTGCTACATCAATATTTATTTATTTGCTGGTTCCTATTATAAAATAAATAGAAACTATATTTCAAATTAATTATTAGCGGAGTTTTTAATTATTAATTCTGAATTTTTTTTTTTAACAGAAAGAAACCAGATTAACTGATAACTATTTGAAGAATTATTTATTTATTTATTTATTTACTTATTAATTTACTTTTAATATTTTGTTTTTTTAATTAATTAATTATTTATCAATTAATTCCCTCCCAAGTATTTAAAGTAGGAAACTGAGTGCCTTTTACTTTAATCTGATAATTTACTAATTAATTTATATATAGATACTTTTCAATTTTATAATAGACTCCCTAATAGGTAAATAAATAAAACAGATTAAATATCTCTCATCATTTCTTATTTGAATCAAACATGAAATTTATTGAAATTTTTTATGAAATTAATTGTTTTAACTGTAGACAATTAAATTCGATATTAATTTTTTTTAAATTTTAAACTATTCAAATTTAAATTATCTGCAAGTCAGTAGCTCAAGTAAATAATTATAATTATTACTCTATTACATTTTCTCTTTTTAGTTGATCAATATAAATTTATCATAATAGATGGAAATGAATGAATTGATTACTTAATTTATATTGATAAAATATGAGCTTAACTGTATTATTTATTTATTTGATTAATCTAATTATTTAGAGCAAACTAGAACAAAGAAAACATGATATTATAAATTATTGTAATAAATAGATATGAATTAATTCATCAATCCATTTATATTGATAAAATTTGAGCTAGACTGCGTAATTTATCAGATTAATCGAATTACTTAAAATAAATAAGAATATAGAAAAGATAAGATTAAAATTTATTGGAATAAAAAGATGTGAATTAATTAATTAATAACTCAATTTGTATTGATAAAATATGAGGTAGATTGTGTTATTTATCTGATTAATCTAATTACTTAGAACAAACAAAATATTAGATTAAAATTTGTTGTTATTTATAGATGTGAAATATTAATCATTAACTTTATATTGATAAAATATGAGCTTAACTTTGTTATTTATTTATTTGATTAATTTAATTACTTAGAACAAAGAAAATATCAGACTAAAATTTAATGTATTAATTAACTAAATAATTATTTATTATTAGACTTATTTTTATTAAACATCAAAGTGCTTTACTAAATTACTAAGTGTGTTGATTTTTTAGTTTGAATAAAGAAAAAAGATTTATAAAACTTTTACCAGTAAAAAATAAATGGTTTATTTTGAAAAACAATATTTTTCAATTTTTATGGCTAAGTAAAATAAAAATGAAATATAAAAATAAAAAATGAAAATAAAATTAATTTACTTACTAAATATGTAAAATAAGTATATATATTGTTCATATTTATTGATTAAATAACTATTATAATTCTAATTACCAGTAACTAATATTTTTTGTTATGTAAAGTGTGATACTTTAAAAGCTTGGTGGAAATAAAGATTTTACACAATCTGGTATTAAATTTAAGGATCTATTAATATCTTATTCTATCATCCTTTTTATGTTGTCTTAATATCCCCCGTCTTACCATAAAAATATACTGAATTGCATTTTTTTAACATCTATCATTTCAGAACTTGCTTCTTCTATATTAAAATTGGAGGAGAAATGTTTGCCTTGATAAAAGATATCAAATTCCCAATGAGTTTGATCTATCAATTTTAATACGATTAGTTTTTAATTACTACTAATTTCTAATTCATCAATTATTTTAAGATAGTTGTCTCCTTTTTTACCATAGTAAAGGGGGACAAGTAATTTTTCTTTGTAATCTGGTGAAAAGTAGTTGATCAATTCTTTCATGTCTTTTATATTTTCGTATTCAAATCTCTATATTCTAAATTCAGAAACTTTATCATATGGTAAATATTACTAAAATAGATAGAATACATCATTAATTATTCCTAGTTAACTTTATCCTGTTATATTAAAGTCCCAACAAAATGTGGGGTTATTAACAAGATGGATTGCAGCTAAAGCAGAAAATAAAGGTTTCTTTTTTCCAAATTATTCTAAAGCTTTTAATGTAACTTATTCATTTCTAATAATTTTCTATTTATTTACATCAAAAGTCCATAATAATTTACTTTTTCTACCAAATCGGCTAACATTATAAAAATCTTAATAATTGAATTAAAGGATTCCTTTATCTGTCTCGATATAGTGAGGAATTTTACTATTTTAGGTAATTAATTAGCTATTTGTATTGCAACGATTTATTTCTGATTGCTTTATATTTATGATTTCATTACTTATATCAATTATGGTATATTTAGGTTCATCCTATTCTTCTTTGTTTCTCTTTTTTTATATTTATTCGAATTCTTCATTTTAAGAGTCAGAAATTTGTTGTTTTCGTTTTAATTTTTGATTATTAAGACTATTATTATGATTATTTGTAGAGGAAGGCTTTATACATTTTAGATTTTTTTATAAATTACTAAAATATTCTTCAATAATTTTTTCACCCTTTAAGATATCTTATAATAATTGTTCAACAAAAGCTAATCCAAAAAAACTTTTTTAAAAGTAATATTCAAACAATTAGCTTTTTAGTAAAGTGGAAATGTAAGATTCGAAGTACTCAAAGTATTTATCTAAAGATGAAGTACAACCTGTGTAGCCGCTAAAGGGTATATAAATTTGAAAATAGCTATAGTGTATTTTTTTCAGCTCACTTGATTTTTAAAAGTGTTCATTTTTTAAATGATTATGTAAAGAAGATGCCTTTCTTATTGTAGACTATTAGTAAAATTTACCGCAAAGACAGTAATAATTTTGTTATTTTTTAATATCATCATTAATTTCTTCATTCTGATCATATTTTTAGCTTTAAATTAAATTCTTTCTTGTGTAATTGAGAAAGAAATTAATATTTGAAAATGTTATTGCTACTTAAAATATAATTTCATTTTCTTTATTATTATTTTTTAGATTATCTACTACTTATAATAGATTTTTTTCATAAAGATGATACTCATTTTAATTTCCTTTATTTTCATTATTGTTGATTGTATTTGTCAACATCGACTAATTTTCTCCCTTATATTTAGTTAAAAAGTCAATAAATATTTATTTATTTTAATATATACATTTAGATAAATAAATACTGCAGATTCCCTATATTTTAGCATACATAAATATTAACACCAATTTTTTGAAAATTTTTATTGAATTAAAACTTAAATTTTGATTATGATTTTGGGGTGTGTTAGTATATGAGAATCTACAGTGTATTTTTATTAATAGAGCTATTCTCGCTCACATAATTATTTTGTTTTAAGGAAATATATATTTAATAGAATAATAAATATTTTTCAACTAAATAATATTTCTTTCTCACAGAATAATTATCTAAGAATAGCTATTTCTTTATTTTTAATTAATAAAAAGAAAAATTCTAGAAAAAAGAAAAATTAATAAATAAACTAACAATAAATAAATAGTATAATTTTTACGCTAAGTATTTGATTTGTTAGCGATATGTTTGTGTCATTATAGATTTTCAAAGGGTCCTTGCTAGAAAGATAGTTTTTAATTAATTGTAGATTATCTAAGGATTCTAGTGAAATATTTTATAAAATAGCATGTTTTATTGTGTTAATAAAATAACTAAATTACATTTTATAAATTCATCTTTATTACAAGTCGTAGAATTATCATTTTAATCAGAAGAAAGAGTGTTGTTAGTCTAATTCTAATATGAATCTGATGAATTTAAATTTTAGCTTCTTGTTTACTAAATAGAACTGTAGTTTGTTTACTAATCTGAGTTATTTGAGGATGTATCTTATTAATGAACTCTGTCTTTACTCTTCAAGTGATATTAATAATCTTTTTATTAAAAGCCAACATCTTAATTAAATTAGTTTTCTTAGGTAGATTCTTAAATTGGCTCAATGCCGTCAATATTTCTATTTAAGAGTGAATCTAAAGGTGTATTATAATCAAACTGCTACATCTGAAATTAATTTATTATCTGGTTCCTATTATGAGATATAAAAAAACTATATTTTAAATGAATTATTAGCGGAATTTTTAATTGTTACGTCTGAATTTGTTTTTGTTGAGATAAATTAGATTTCTGATAACCTTTTGAATTTATTAAAATTTTTAATATTTTTATTAAGCAAATTATTTATTTATCTATCTATACATCAATTCCCATCCCGAAGTATTTAAAGAGGAAAAACTGAGTGCCTTTTTTACTTAAATTTAAAATTTAGAAAATCATCTCCAAATAGAAAACGTTTAAAAATTAAATTATTTATAAAGTAAAATCAAAAATTAACTTTCTCATAAGTAAATGAAACCCACCAAATATTTTTCGTATTTCTTATTAGAATAATTTATGAAATTTCATATGAAATAATTTTTTTTAACTGTTAGCAATTGTTTATCATAATTAATTTTTTTAAATTTTAAATTAATCACTCAAATTGAGATCTGTCTACAAGATAGCTAGTAGAACAAACAATTTTGATATTAATAAATAGATCATTCAATTTATATTGATAAAATATGAGCTTCACTCTTTTATTTATTTGATTAATCTAATTAATTAGATCATAGAACAGATTAGACTTTATTAAAGGCAAAAAAATTTATATGAATTATTTAATCAATCAATTTATATTGATAAAATATGGACTGAACTGTGTTATTTATTTAAGTAATCTAATTAATTAGATCATAGAACAGATAAGACTTTATTAAAGGCAAAAATTGATATGAATGATTTAATCAATCAATTTGTATTGATAAAATATGGGCTGAACTGTGTTATTTATTTGAGTAATCTAATTAATTAAAATATAGAACAGATTAGAATTTATTAAAGGCAAAAATTGATATGAATGATTTAATCAATCAATTTTTTTTGATTAAATACGAGCTAAACTGTGTTATTTATTTATTTGATTAATTTAATTACTTAGATCAAAGAAAAGATTAGACTATAATTCAAGGTATTTATTTACTAAAGATATATTTATTATTCAATTTATTTTTATTAAATATCATTGCTTTACCTTATTGACTTGACTGTATATGATTTTAGTTTGTTTGTTTGAACAAAGAAATAAGATTTATATAAATATCACCCTCAAATTATCAAAAACTTTGAAAATTAAAAAGCTTTGCGTAAAATTAAGATAAAAATATCTAAAGTACACATAAATATTAATCTATCATAAACTTTAAGGTAAAATTTAATTTATAAACAAACAAACAAAGAAAATTTGTTTAAATTCAACTAAAAAATTCTCCAATAAATTTTATTTTTAACTATATTATTATAGGATTCTCATAAATTATATTTATTAGATTTTATTCTAAATTATTTACATTTTAAAAGAATATTTTTTTAAGTATTTTAATTATTCATAGAATTACAAACAAACAAATCTTTAAGTTAAAATAATATTTTAATTTAATATTTTAAATTTATTGTAAAATCTTAGGATTTTAGAGTTATAAATTATTATTCTCTATATTAAATTTTCCCATTTTTTTATTGTAAAATAATGAATAATATTAATTATAAAATACTAAAAAATTTAAATAGTACAGTAAATAACTAAAATAAATTTTATAATAATAAATTGATATTAATTTATTTTTATAAATTTATCTATTTAAAAACATATTTATTTACCTAATTGAATAGAAAGGTAGAGAATATGTACTCTTTTGATAAATATAGACAAAATCAATAATTTATAATTATTTGAGATATATATCAGAAATATTTGGGCAAAAATCCAGCAGAAATAGAAAGAAAGAAACATAAACAAAATAGAAAATTCACGAATTTATTTTAGTAGTTACTAAAGAAAGAAAAACGGAGGGATGATTAATTTTTGATAATTGAATTAATTAAATAACAAAGAAGAAATTAAACAAAGTAAATTGTTGATAGCCCTAATTAATTATCAAAATCAATCAATTCAAAAGAGTTAGAATCACAAAATAAGAAGATAAAAATATGTCAGTAGATCAAACTAAAAAGGATTACAAATACTTAAAATAAGATGAAAATTAAGAATATACTCTTTTATATAACAGCGTAGATGAAGAAAGAGGACTTCTACATTCTGTTAATGAATTAATTTTGATTTAAGCAAAAGATATATCTCACCAATCTTCTTGCGATCAATCTATTTAAATGAGTTCTTCTCACTTAGATGGAGAATTTATTAAGAAGGAAAGTACTGAATAATAAATTTTAGAAAAAAATAAATCTGAATAAAAAGAAAATTTAGAATAAAGCAGAGGAGAATATGCTGAATAAATATTATATAAATATACAAATAAAATAATGGATTTATTTAAATGGAACAGAGAGTATTCTAGCTTAGGATAGCTTTACTTTTAAATAACCTTCGATGGATTAGCTCTTTATTATATAAATAAATAAATAAAACAATACAAATAACAAATGATATTGTCTAATGAGAATTAATAAATAGTTAGAGATTGCATCTCTAATCTCTCTAATTTTCCAGATTCTTACTTTTATAAGGCAAAGCAAGATTCTAAGGTAGTTGTAAGAGGTTAAATAAATGACCCTTTGGCAATTAACTGCATTAATAATAAAATCTTAGATAAAAGATTCAATGTTGAGTTAAGCTAAATGTTTAAAATATCAAGCAATAAAAATTTAAATGGTAGAGAAATAAACTGTAAGTTAGACAAAAATTTGTCATACTAAAATTCTTCGAAATTATCTCATTCAGGAAGCAAGATGAATCTTTTTACATCATTTAACGCTGGAATAGTTTCGCTATTTACTGGATATGCCTTTAAATCTGAAATAAAATTTGATCAATTCTAAGCAGGAAAAGACTTCTACTTTTTTGGCTAAAGACAAATAATGCCAGACAATACAGCTCTTTTAAACATTACTAACATTTTCAAAGAATTTGATTTACAAAAATTCAGAGTTGAAGAAGCAGCTTATTTGATATCTATTCTTGTGAGTTATGGAGTTGGATTATACTTAGCTGTTAAAATTGTCAAAAATGTTGTAAGTTGGGTTAAAAATAAAAATAAAAACAATAAATGAAATTTAATAATTAATTTTTTTTTAACAAACAAAGTAAACTATTTAATGTATAATATAGATAAATAATTTTTAATTTATAATTTATATATCAGTTTAAAAATTTATCTACTATTAATTGTTCAGTATATTTTCTCATTATGATTATACCTAATAAAATTTATATTAACATTGTAAAAAGCAATAAATCTTTTTTGATTGAAATTCAATCAAATAGTATTGCTTCTTTTTTTCTTTCAAATATAAATGACTTTTAAAATTCGAGTGATTTATTTATTTTTTTATCGAATTATTGTTGTATTAAAATAAATAATTAAATTCCAGTTAATATTTTTCATTATATTTTTTCTATTTTTTATTTTTATCTTCCAGCCAGAAATTAGATAAATTAGAAAGCAATTAGTTAGTTACTCATTTTTATATGATTTTTTTTACATTATTAGTACATTATATTCAATAAATGCTTAATTCCATCAAATCTCTAGGTTCAAAATACATAGTTCATATATGCTTTATCAAATGAAATGCTTTGATAAAAATAAAATTCTAAAAGAGCTACTTTAGTTAAGATAAAATAATAACTTGTACTATAAATTAGAAAGTATTTAGTAATTCATTTTTGAATGATTACTATATATTATTAGTGCAATATATTCAATGTCTGCTTAATATTATAAAAGCTCTAGCCTTAAGTTTATAAATAATTTATCAAATGAGATGCTTTGATAAAAAATAAAATTCTAAAAGAGCTACTTTTATTAAGATAAAATAATTTGACATAACTAAGAAAATCTTTTAAAATATAAATAAATAAATCATTATTTCTTTACTAAAAATTATTTTTGAATTAAGAGATTTTATATTATTTATAATGATTTTTTTTATTTTAAGCTAGAGATATTTGGTAAATTTGAAGAAAGATGATACAAGTGTTTTTTCTTTTTAATTTTGCAATAGAAAAAGAAGTTTCTTGAAAAATTAATTTCTAAAATAGATTGTTTTTTATTGAGAATAAATAAATATGAAAATGGAATGAAATTATCTGCGAGAAGAAACAAAAATAATTTAATTAAATAAATAAAATAAATATCAATCTAAGTTGCATACATTATAGATAGATAGATGTCTTTAGGATAAACAAATTAAATATTATTTACAATCAAAGAAGATGAAGGAGAGAACATTTCTCTAATTTAACTTTAAAATAAAAATGATTCAAACAGTTAATCATCTTAGCCTTTTTCTGAAATTGATTAAACTATTAATGATCTTTAGTGCTGCTAAAGTTAAGGAAATTTATTGATTCAAGATGATGATGCTTATTGTTAATAAATGAAAGTTGATAAATCTGCTTAAACAAGTGATTAGCTTCATAAATTGACTAGCTCAGCTAGTATTATAACTACTAAGAAAATTTCACCCAACTAAGACCCTAAAAAGTAAACTTAAATCTGCATAGCAGACAATTCAAGAGTTTCACTAAATATTTTCACTTAAGTTTTTAATAAAATTAAATAATACACAAAAAATTGTATTGATCTTTTTATGTGGGAGAGAAAGTACTCAAGCTTTGGAAAATATAGTTTTTAGTTTTTATTTGATGGAATATCAATTTACTTCTTAAACAAAAAAGCTTAAGAATTTAAGAGCCAATTAAATGAATGTAAAAAAGAAGAAGAAATAGTTAAAAAAAACTCAGAGGAAATTAATAAAGATACTTAATCTCTTTTCATTAAATCTTAAATTGGGGAAAATGTATTAGTTAAAGGAAAAATTATAAACTAACTTGCCATAGAACGAATTAATAATATTCATATAAATGATTAAGAGCAAAAGAAAATGAGTTCTTTTACAATCTACGGATATTCTTTTAGCAATTTACCTGCTTAATTTGATTAAAATCTTTGCTTTAATTAACAGGATCTCCCATTAAATTAACCTTACAAAATAAATTTATTGGCAAAATTAGCAGCAACAGCACTTAGTAGATACATTTACAAGTCTAAATTATCTTTAGAAAATGGTAGCTTCGATTCTTAGATTTTCTACTATTTCTATGGAAAAAAGGATTTCTTAACAAATGGATAATTAGGACTAAAAATATCTTCAATATTTAAAGAATTCAACTTTTTATAGTTCAAAATAGATCAAAAAGCCTTAATTTTATCAATCCTTATTACTTATGGAATCTCAATTTATTTTGCCTTCAAATTTGTTAAAAACGTATTTGCAATTCCTAAAAAAAGTAGAAAAAATTGATTTTTTTGTAAGGAAACTTACTTAATATTTTTTTATTTATTATCTTTTGAGTGAACAAAAATATTTTTATATTTCATTGGTGTTCGTTTAAAATATAAAAATTTATTAGTGAAATAAAATTTAATTAATTTCAAATTACAATTTATTAAAAAAAATATATATTTTCTTTCAATCCTCTATTTAATAATAAAATAAATATAAACATTATTATATATATTTTTTTATATATAGTACCCTAAGGTACTGCCTTTTTCAAGGTTACATACACTAATTATAACAAGTTATATTATATATCTAAAATTTCAGTGAAAAGACTTGAAATGAAAAAGGCAGTACCCTAGGGTACTATTCATTTATATATAATAATTTATTATTCTCTCTATTTAATTTAATAAAAAATGTTTGTTTGATTTTGAAATGAAGATCATTTTTCTATCAATTGATTTGATTGATCACACATTTCCTGCTGTTCCTGATCAAAAATATAGTTGTATATAAATATAAACATTTAGAGAGAAATATACAGCAAAGATTAAGAATATTCAAGAAAATAGTTAGTTATCTATTTTAAAAAGAGTACTTTCTTCAAAATTTGTTTTAAAGAAAGAATGAATGCTCCAAAAAAATTAAATCAACAAAAATTAATAAAAAGTATAATAAAAAAAGACAATATTCAAATTATTGCATTGATTAATTAACCAACTATGGAAAATAAGAGTTAGAGCAATAGCGAGATTGAAGATAAAAAAAATCTAAATCTATAAAGGGAAGCTAAATATACCTTATTAAACGATGTTAGTAATATTGATGAAGAATAGAAGCTATTGCAATCATTAAATAATCCTACTTTGTGTTAAGATAATCTCTCAAAAGCATCATCTTAATGTGATTAGTCAATAGAACTTATTGCTTCTAATTTGCTAGATTCTAAAGTCACTAACTAAGAAAATCAATAAAATATTTAGAGTTAGTAACTTTAAAGTGTAAATAAATATGATTCTTCTGAAATTGTAGACACTGTGAAAGAATATGTTAATTCTTTTGTAGATTTGTTTAAGTGGAATAGAGAATATGATAGCTTCTACTAATTATACTTTTAAATCGGTTTCGATAGTCTGCTTGCCTTCTACTTTTATAAAAATTAAAAAAAACTCAATAAATAAAGAGATAATTTGAAATAAGAATAAAAAATAGTTAATGATATGGCATAAAGACTATAAAATGATCCTTTATGTTTATTTCATGGGTCTAAACTTAGAGAGAATACGCTCATTTTAATAGGAAACAGTGAATCATAAAAAATAGAAAAAAATAAAAGAAATTAAATCTTCACTTTAAGAACCTAAAATGGCTATTTGGATGCTGAAGTTGACAAAGATTTTAAATACTTGGACAATGCTTTTTTTTTTGAAGCTGCAAAAGATATGGGTTTATTAACTAAATTAACTGCTTCTACTATTTCCTTTGTAAGTGGGAAGCTTTTTAAGTTTAAAATTTCTTTCCATACTAATAAAGAGCTTATTACATATTATTTATTTGGAAAGAAAGATAGACTTAGCGATGGTAGTATTGGATTATGCATAAAATAATAAATTTAAGATTTAAATTTAAGTCATTATTAAGTGGCATATTTGATTTCTATTCTAGTTGCCTCTGGCTTCTGTCTTTACTTTTCAGCGAAAATTGCTAAGAATATCATTTATTTGGCAAAGAAAAAGAAATTATTTAGAAAGAAAAAATGAAAAAAATATAAATACTAATTAGTTAGTTAGTATGTATTAAATAATAAATTAAAATATTAAATTTATTTTACATTTGTTTTAATTTATAAAAAATACATTTTAAAAAAGGTATTGTAATTTTAATAAATTTATATGTATTATTAATCAATCACCATTCATTTAATATTAAATTAAAATATTTGACTCAATAATCAACAAATGTTAAAGTAAGTTTTTCATCAACAATTTTTTGTAATGCATAATAAATAGTAATTTTTTATAATATAAAAGATTATTAGTACAAATAAAAATAATTATCATGAAATTTAAGAATGAATTAGATAATATAGTAAGTAAGTATATTTATATATTTTTTAATATATTTAAATTGTACCAAAAGTAGAAATATATACAAATAGTTTTTTTCATGATTTAAAACATTAATTACTTATAATTTTTAAATTATTAATATTTGTTTTACAAAAATAACCTTACTAAACTTTTAAATTAATTATTTAATTTGGTATAGGAATAAAAATGTTTTAAAAATTAGTTTTAGGTTATTTTAGTTTAAAACACAGTTTTTATTGGATATGTTGTATTTTATTTAATATTAAGTTGGTAGTAGAATTAATATTTTTATTTTATTTCATTTGGTTAAAGCAACTGTTGGCTGATTATCGAGAGTTTAAAGAGTTTAAGATGGTTGTGTTAAGGCTTGTAAACTTTTTGGTATTTCAGTATAATATTAAGACCAATTGACTTTGAATTTGTAGAGGGTAATTATGAGTAAAGCAAGAACTTCCTGGCCAAAATAAATATAAAAAATATTATTGAATCCAATTATTTTCTTAACAAATAATATTAAGAAAAATTATAGAAAATTTGCCATACTAAATCCATACCAATATAACCCATAGAGCTATGCACCAACTTTGACTCCATTTAATTGTGAAGAAAATACAGGGAAGCTACCAAAGGCTACACCAAATACCATATGAATAATAAAAATCCAAATAGCAAAGAAAGCTTTGCTACTGTCTGTAAATTAAATTGTAAGGGAAGTTATTATTTACACTATCAAAAAACCTTATAGTATTCTTTTGAAAGGATATTTGTCAAGTAGAAGTGACCATAGTGGTCTACAAAAGCCATTCGCTATACCACCTAGATATCCTACAAGAGATTAAAAACTATCATCAGTGTATCCAAAATCCTTAGCTATTGATTTATAGTTACCATTAACAATTAGACCTTAACCTAGTGTTAAAAATCCAAGAAAAATAGACATGTACAACTGTGGTTATTTTAAACAAACTGTAATTGATGGAGCACCAATCTTGTTTAGTTGTTCTTCTATTAAAATGTTCCTTTTCTTTAACTCATCTAAATTGACTTCAATTTATTTTTCTTTTTGTTCTAAGCGGATTACTTATTGTTATGCAGTATTTTATGATTTATTTGAAGTGAATGAATTTTTGTGTTGATTTCTATTTGGCAATTCTTATTTGAACAACCTTGTAAATTAGTGCTATTCAAGAGGTTAGTTTTCGTCACTCTTCTAACTTTATTTATTAGAAATCTCTTCATCTACAATCATATATTCTCTTTATTTATCTTAATGGTGTGCCAATTCTATTTTCTATTGAATAACTTCTTCTTCTAACTACAGAATTTCTAGCTTTTTATTTAAAATTTGCTAGTCTATTTAAATACAATTTGCTTAGTTAGTTTATTTGTCATTTTAATTTGAAACTCTAATTTTATTTAATGAAGGCAAATCTATTTAATCAACATTATGCTAAAGTTTTTATAAATCATTTTTTTCATTCTCTTTTTACATAAGTTCTTTTTTTAATCTCTTTTCTTCTTCTCCTATTTGATTAGGATGATACATTATCATTTGAGAAGCAACAACAGAAACTCCTAAAAAAATAAATCCAATAGTTCGAAGCGCTTCAGGAACATTTCTTGCTACTTCTACAGAGGGTCCTTCGAAATAAGAATAACCATCAGTATTGCTAATTTAAGATAGTCCATTAGGATTAACTAGCTTAAAAAATAATAAACCAAAAAAGAAGGAGTTTAAAGCAAAACCGCCGGTATTAACTCCAGCTACAAGTCCTCTATTATTAGGGAAATGCAAATAACCCATGTAAATTGGTACAAAAAAAATAGTACCTTAAGCAAAGCCATGTAAAACGGCATAAACAATAGCAAATTAGTAAAATTTCTGAGTATAGCTCGATATAATAACCATCAATGACGATATAATTGAACAAATCAGTAAATTATATCTTGCTTAACCAAATAATTTGACTAGTTTGATACCTAAAGGAATGCCAGTTGCTAAAGAAATCATCATAACTGGATATACAGTTCCAGCCACTCCTAATTCTAAATCAGGATCGTCTTTTTATCTAAAATATGAAGTGACGTAAACGTTTAATTGCCCCCATAAAAATATAGAACCATTCATAAGCAGTAATAAAAATCCGCCGATAAGGGTCATAATAGCCTTTGTCTTATCACTCAATTTAATATCCATTTGTCTTTAAGAATATTTCAATTCTATTTGTAAAAGTGAGTTTAGAGAAGTATTAATTTAATTTAGATAGTTGCTTAAGAGTTAATTAAATAATTATAAATTTGTTAATTAATACTCTCTATTTATACATATATTTTTTGATAAGATTTTGCATTTAAAATAATCCAAAACACTTTGTTTTTCCAAATATACCTCAAATATTCATCATATTCCCTTAATGCTAAATATTTCTATTGAAATATTTATAAACAATAAATTTTTGTATAAACTGTCTTTAAGCGATCATTATTTATAAAGAAATGCTTAGAGGATTTAAGGTTAATTTATAATATCTTTATTATTTTGCTTTCAAAATTATTAAAAAAAATCAAACTGTAATCTTTTTTCTTTAGAAATTATATTTTAAAAATAATTATTTAAGCAAATTACATCACATGAAAATTGCGATGAAACTAGATTACAAAATTAAAATGATGATACTTAATGTTATAATCTATTTATTACATTAAAGAATTACAAATAAATTTATTGGAGTTTTAATATTTAATTAAAAAATAATTCATTAAAGTAAAGTTAATTGTGTAAAAAAGTTAAATTAATAGAAAAGTAATCAGAAAACTTTCTTCTTTTTTTCTTTTCGAATTTACTTATGTCTTCTGATTAATTAAAAAATCTATCGAAGATATTTAAATAATCTATTTAATCTAGAATATTATTTATTTATTCTATGTCACATAACTAACTCATATATTAAATTTTCTATTATAAAAAGTTTTAATTATCCAATAATAAAGAAAGAATAAATTAAAAGTCTTTAAATATTTTTATTTTATTAAAAATTTTAAATTTTGATTAAATTAATATTATTAAATCTATTATATTTTACTATATTATAAAAAATATCAAATAGGATTAATTATTTTAAAATATAAAATAAATTAAAAACTATAAAATAAAATTAAGATATAAATTTTGTACTAATTAGTGAAAAAACTATCAAAAAAAATCTTTATTTCTAAATAATAGTAATCTCTTGTCTTATTGCCATCTAATTAAAATTTTTGATAGAATAGGGATATGTTAAGTCATTTTTAAATTTTTATAGATAAATAATTGCTAATAAAATTTAACAAAATTAAAAAAACAAATCATGAAATTTAAATAATTATAATTATAAATTTAATTTAAGGATTTTACTTGATTTAAATTATTATATATAGATATATCTTACATCTTTAAAGTAATAAAAATAAATATTTTTATTTTTGTCTTATTCAACTAGATATAATAGTTGATCTTAGTTAGTTATCAAGTATTTATTATGTTTGCAGTGAAATTTAAGATTATAAATTTTTAGGGATTTCCTTATAATACTTTGCCCAATTTATTTTAAAATTATAGAAAGTAATTAACAGTAATCCAATTAAGGCCTAAGCAAAATAAATGTATAAAATATTATTGAAACCTATTTTAGTCTTTAATCCCATTACTAGCATAAACTAGAAGAGATTTGCAATTGTAAATCCAAGCCAGTAAAAGCAATATAGCTATGAACCAATCTTGATACCATTAATCTAAGAGCAAAAGACAGGCCACATTACAAGAACACCCCCTAAAGTTGTATGAATTATAAATACCCAAAGAGCGTAGAAGATTTTATTAACATTTGTAAATTGCATAGTTAAAGAAGTTATTATTTCTATCAATAGTAGAATTTATAATATTCTTTTGAAAGAGTACTTATCAAGCAAAAGAGACCACACCGGTCTACAGAAACCACTAGCAATACCACTAAGAGACCCTACTAATGATTAAAAGCTATCACTTGTAAATCCATAGTCCTTAGCTATAGATTTGTAGTTCCCATTAATAATTAATCCTAATCCAATAACTAAGAATCCTAACAATATTGACACATAAAGTTAAGGTTGTCTGAAACAAATTTTAATTGACGGAGGACCAAGGCTATTTAATTATTTTTCAATATAAGCATTTCTTTTTTTAAGTTCTTATAAATCAGCTTCCATTTTATTTTCCTTTTAATCATAATACTTTTCTAAATCTAATGGTTTTGTAGATATTTCTGATAAAAAAGAGTTTTTATGTTATTTTCTGTTTGGGTG